ATCATATTACATCAAGCTCTATTTTATTAACATCCACCAGCACTCAATGTGAGCTATCATATATATATATATATATATATATATATATATATATATATATATATATATATATATATATATGTTACTGATTTTATGTGATGAATTATGGACGTATCTGTCAGCGTCTGTAAGAAAAAAAGTTATTTCGGTTTGTTCAGAAGTAAACACATGGCAGTCGTTTAAGTGAAATTTGAAGTTTCATCAAAAATAGCCAATTTTCGACTAATTTCAAATTACATCATGTCCTCTTTGATGGATATACATAAATGCTTCATGAATTCAGAGATTGGAAAACACTAGTGAAATCTGGCACTTTCCAATAAACAGATAGGTATTCCATTAAAATCAGAGATGACGCCGATGTCGGTTACATAAGTTCAATATGAGGACTCTTCAATCTTTAAAGAAAGTACTTATTTAAAACATCCACCCTTTTCAAACTATGATACTTTTCGTCGTAAAGCATAAGATGTTGTATCGTACATCAAGTAGCAAGATATGTAAACGCTAGGTTATAAAATATGCAAAAGTAAACATCAGTTTATATGAAGAAATGTTTTTTCATCGTAGTATCGTTGACGGGCCAGACGGAGAGTAAATTATGTGTTTGCAAACGGCAACGGCTCTCATAGATTTGAACTTCTAAATTTTGTGTATGTTACGTTTTTGGCCAGTCTTATAGTTGATAAAGTGGTGAGACGAGCTTCAGATCTTTATACTATATCAGTTTAGATTTTGGAAGATTATCGTTTTCAGGGATAATATGATCTTTTATGTAGAACAATTCTCTCATGGGAACAACACAAGTGAATAACTAAAATAAAGCCACGTTGTTTGCCCGATAACGAGATAAGGTGTGGAACATTCTGAAAATAAGATTTTGATTTAGCAAACAGCAATTCACTAGCAAAGATATAGGTTAGAATGTTATTCATGAATGGAAGACATATCAATAAAACTGCTTACGAATTCTGTACTTGTATAAAAATCAAACTTACTTTTAGAACATGAAGAATACGTTTCAAATTAATGTCATTTGTTTTACAAAGGATTGATTTTCAGTTTAATTTTCACTTATAACATTTTTGTAGTGTCAGTGAAATTACTAACGATGTGAACCATTTAATATTCGGTGAAATTAACAACATTTTTGCTACATTTTAAGAGTGGAATGTTGTTTAACTTATAGATATTATGTGACATATTCCGCATGTAATTAGTGCAGATATTAAAGAACATTTTCATTATTATTCTAAGAATACACAAAAATTAAAAATGCATAAGTATGTTTAAATTTCAGTTTGTATAGACATTTTTTCATAGTGTTTTTTTTTCAACGTTTTCTAATGAATTCGTTTGGCCGCATGAAGAAGTTTTCTCTGATAATAATTCAAACACATACACTGATTTCGCAACCACTACACTATTGCGATGAGAAACTTGCCATTTATCTGGTAATACATACATTCAATAGTTTATCATTGTCCAACAAGCGAAAATAACTTAACAATAACACAAACATTTTATATCACATGAAATTGGAAAAAAAAACTACAAATACTAGAATCACTGAGCACAAAACAACAGCTTAAAATCAATACATTTTAATCAAATTTAAAAAAAACACACACTAAGGACAAATCATTTTAAAAACATACTAAGATATCAAAAACTGTCACGAAGAAGAGATATCTGAAAATGATGAAACAGATATAGCAAAAAAATATTGATATTGGATTATGAAACTTGAAAGTAATTAGAAATTGTTCAACTTATATTTAAATATATACAAGGAACCGGAATATAAATATACATCCATAATGAATTTTCGCCGATTCTTAACTAAACTTGTATAAATGAAACCTGCTGCCTAATTCCACCCACTTTATATATAATTTTTTATATATCAGAATAATTTTAGGAAAACGTATCACAAAGTGTAAAAAACAATCCGCGGACTTCAGCAAAGTAAAGTGATGTTTGCGTTGATATGGTTACGGATGCGTATTTACATTTTCAGCTTCCTCTTTTGTAAATACGTATTTTTTAATCACCGAAACGTAAAATATCTTTTTAGTCCGATGAAATCGTAAAGTAGGCTTCTTCTCAAGAGAATTATTTTACACTTTGTCATACATTTTCCCATATATATATATATATATATATATATATATATGGAGTTGGAGTGTGTGTGTGTGTGTGTGTGTGTGTGAGAGAGAGAGAGAGAGACCGGCACAAAACATAATTTCGTATCTGAAAAATAGACGATATGAAACAGACAAATAGACAGCCAAACACCAGAAACGTTTTCGGTTAAGTCAAAAGCTCCGCTGAGGACCAACTTCCGGAACAGTGTCATAAAGACTGTCTGAGCTTCTGTTAAGATTATGAAAGCAGAACTCTCAGCTTGGCTTGTCAGTATTGACAATGTTGCCTGATATTTACTCACACAATTCATATTACTCTTCCCTCTCTCTACTCACGCAAACAAGTAGGTCAACGCGCATCAGTGGATAGAATGAAATACACAGACATCATCTACCTCTTCAACAACACAACCCACGACAAAAACTCTACAACCACTTAACGAACTCTCCAAGACGACGTCAGTGAGAACTTATCAGAAATTTAATGAACTTATTTACTATGATACAAGACTACCTTTCCGCACATTGTTTTACGAAGGGTGCAGAAAATTTGTCATCACGGTAAAGATGTTCTTGCAACATTAATTCAGATATTTGCATATTTAATCAGATTTAGGGAATCATATTAGGCTGAGAACTTTTCAACACTCCTTCTGTATAAGTAATAATAGATGTTATTTTCATTTTCTAATGCCCTCTCCTTTCAGGAACATGTGCAATCATGATTCTCTACATTTTACCCCTTGATGTTTTTTCAGATTACACTATGAGTGCAACTGGTACGATGTAAACCAGGAATATATGCTGCATAGTAGAATCATGGTCAACTAAAGGGGCTCCTGCGTAAGGATGAACTGGTGAAGAGTTTGAGCAAACAACCAACAGGCAAGACCAATCAAAGTGCGGGTTGACCTTCAACAGCCATACACAGAAGTAGATAATTTTGTCTGTCGCCACGTTCACACCCCTCCCCGGTTAATTTTTGTAAACAAGAATAAAATTTCATTCCTTCGCTTCTGTTTAAGATTGGGTTTCCTTTTTCCTGTTTCTTTTAAAGTCTTGTCATTCTCTTTCACTCTTATTAGCCCTTTGCGTGTTAGTGGAATTATGGTCTTCTTCTCGTATTGATTTTATAAAATCTCGTACAATGGGATGGACTGTGCTTCATAGCTATGTATGCAGTAGTTTGATGAAACGGTCAGAGAGGACGGTTCTTGCAATGGAATCAACGGCTACGTATCTGTGACCATGGCGAACGTTCATATTGGAGGAGATCAACTATTAGTTGACCTGAATAGGATTGATCTCCAACAGGAATACCTATCAAAGCTACGGTATGCAGGAATGGCTATCTCTCTATTTTCCAACTCAAATATGTGGAGGAAAAAGCTCTACGGTTCAGCGACCCAACCTAATCCCACCATTTGATGGGACTGATTATGCTGGTGATTATCTAGAATTCCTATGCCTTATTTAAAAAAATATTTACCTTCATTGCGATTTCAGTGAATTCTTTCTCTTATGCTGGTCGGCAATCGAGTCTAGAGGGCAGAAATAACACTGCAACTTAATTAATTACTACCACTTACAAGGGCATAATGTAAAAAAACCATTCCGCCACAAAACAAGGCAGGAATATCACTAGTATGCAGTGGTTACGGGGAGTGAAAGAGAAAAAATCATTTCGCCTCAAAGCAAGGCGATAATGCCACTACTACGCAGTGGTTACGGAGAGTGAAAGTGAAAGAGAAAAAATCATTTCGCCACAAAGCAAGGCAGGAATGACTCTAGTACGCAGCGGTTACGAGGAGTGAAAGTGAAAGAGAAAAAATCATTTCGCCCCGAGAGCAAGACGGGAATGTTACTAGTACGTCGTGGTTACGGGGAGTGAAAGTGAAAGAGAAATAATCGTTTCGCCTCAAAGCAAGGCGATAATGCCACTATTACGCAGTGGTTACAGGGAGTTAAAGGGAAAGAGAACAAATCATTTCGCCCTAAAGCAAGGCGGGAATGCCACTAGTACGCAGTGGTTACGAGGAAGGAAGGTGAAAGAGAAAAAAATCATTTTGCCCCAAGCAGGTAAACCGAAGAGTGTTACACAGGTGATATGTACGTGAAAAGAAACTGTTGATGTAGAAATGCGGGTGCATTTACCTTTTTCAATGCTATTATTGTGGAACCTACATGCCAATCTAGTAGCACTGTTAAAATCATATCGGCTGAACACCAGGGAAAAAAGCTAGTCAGAGCAATTGACATGAAATTATTTGTAGAAATTCATGTGATGCCATATCCTGTCGATTAGAAAGTGACTGAATTCGAGATGCCTGGTCAAGGTTGTGACGAAACGTAGCAGACAAACACAGAATTAGAACTCCGCTTGACGATTTTACCTTCTGTGCTGATAACTCTTATTTTACAAACATACGTTTGTTCTTATTTAGTTTATAGATTTCATTTATTTTGTGAAAAACTACATACGCTTTTTTAGTCTGACTGATTACATTTCTGTAACTTCGCTTGCCACTAAAATCCGAAATGGGTGCATTTCGATACTGTATATAGAGGAACCCCACCAAACGACAGGCCATGATCCAACCCGCTGGTGTCAGTAACTACGCATTCTCCGATATATACACATCGTCTCACGGATAAGAGACATAAAGATCGATGTTAGACAAATGGTAATGAATAGTGAGAATCTAAAACGTAGAAAGGAAGATTCCCTTAAACAAAATTCAATATATTTAAAGTTGAGTAACTTATGTAAGAATTTATCAAATATTGCTGTGGACGGTTCACCTGGTGAATGATTTAATGATTATCGTAGCGGTGAAGTGATGAGTAAATGTGCTCTAACCATACATGGTGATTTTGTTTGAAGATAGATAGATAGATAGATAGATAGATAGATAGATAGATAGATAGATAGATTTCAGCCCACAAAAGGAAATATTTAAATATTGTCTGGCCAGGTACTTGGAAGCCGCTTTGTCAAAATATTTTTTATCGCCTCCTAATAGGTCGAGTAAGTAATATATATATATATATATATATATATATATATATATATATATATATATATATATATAAAAGAGAGAGAGAAAGGAAACGGACGTGTAGAATGAGAACCATACAGAGAGAATAAGAGACAGACAGATAAACAAAAAGCAACAGACAAGCATAGAAAGCGAGAGAGACAGAAAAAGAGAGACAGAAAAAGAGTGACAGATAGAGAGAAGAAGAAAGACAGATAGAAAAAGAGAGACAGACAGACTTATAGGCACATTGAAAAATAGAAAGTGAGACACAGACAGACAGGTAGGCAGAGAAAAAAAACATAAACAGGAAAAAGAGACAAGCTGGTAGATAGACGAAAGAAGAGAGACATAAAAAGACAGACAGTCAGAGAGAAAGAAAGAGAGAGACGTACAGACAGAAAGAGAGGCAGGCAGAGGAAAAGAAATATACAGAGAGATACAAACAGAGAGAGAGAGAGAAAGAGGTAAATAGACAAACAGAGTGAGAAAGAAAGATATACTGTGAGAAGGAGCACGTTATTGAGAGAAAGAAAAAGATGTTAATTTGCATATTTTAAAGTATGAATATTTTTTGAGGATGTCGTAAATTATTTGAAATCGATATTCTAATATTTAACCAGCCTCTAAAATCGACTACAGGAAATGAAGAGAAATAATTGTCTATCTAATAGGCAATCGAGCTGATTTCAATAAATTCTGCTATGTATGCAAGACGTGAGAAATTAATAACAGTATTATCATTGACGAAGAATTTACTAATATTTTCTTCAGTAATTAACACAAACAAGTAACTTGGCTTTGGTTAATTGCTATTAATTGCCAAAATTATTTGGTAATTTAGACTCAAATTATTGTTATGAGTTCGATTCAGAATCTTAACTTCCTGTCTTGCGAGGAATATAATCTGCGAATACGGAACAGTTGCAGGAAATGTAATTTAAAAAAAAAGTAATTTTATCTGAAGTTTAATTAAGCCAAACTGAGGACTACATTGTACACAAAACTATATATATATATATAAAAAAATCTGTGAATTCTTTAGAAATATTTATATATATACATATATATATATATATATATATATATATATATATATATATATATATATATATATATATATATTCCATCAAGATTTCCATCACAGAAATTACTGTTTCGAAACTGAACACCCTTATTCAAGTTTAATTTCAATATTGATCCTTAACTGCTGGGTGACAGTTTCATCCTCAAGTGATGTTTGGAATAACTCACCAAAGAATTGTTTTACTCATGTATAGTTTTGAAATGGAGGTGTAATGTTGTTTTTTTTTTTTTACATTATCAAGGGATAAAGGGGTCTGTAGTTTTAATTGAATTTGCGAATGGATTTATATGTTATTGTGTAATTTTCACATAGTATTGTTGAATTTTTTCTTCCATCCCTTTATGAAATGCTAGGTCTGCTTCTATATCGAGTACTGTTTTTTAATAATAAAAATACTAAAAACTTCGCGTCATCAATCTAACAGTTCTTTCCTATTATATCAACACACACATATATATATATATATATATATATATTAAATGAAATACCGGATTTTACATTTAATCTGTCAAAAGTTATTTTTTTTTATTATATACACATATTTAAAGCAGATGCTGCATGTATTTTAAACAGTATTTATTTTGTCTGCTTGCTAAAGAACTTTCAAGAACTTATATATATATATATATATAAATATAGGGCTTGAAATGGCTTAGTCCTCAATGGCAACTACAACCTAAAAATTGATAGAAGCCGGTTTTGCGGTTCGAGTGGAGTCATTGAGTGATATACTTCTGGATTGAAAATAGCCGAAAAGGTCGTTGTAATTTCCAAACACAGCTTCATTTCGAGTGATAAAAGCATTATTTGTTGCCACTTCTCTGCTGTACAAAATGGTCATATAGAACATACGAGAGAACATTATACCCAGATGATTATATATATATATATATATATATATATATATATATATATATATATATATATATATATATATGGGGGGGTAGAGAGAGAGAGAGAGAGAGTACGGGAGAGAGGCGTTTCACCAAAGATCAGTGAAAAAGATTTGAAAATGAAATCGTACGCGAAACGTGTGAGGAAACTTGTTTCTCCAGGACAGAATGTTAGAAGGTTAGGGAGGGCGAAGATCATCTTGAATAATTTGGAATGTGGTCCTGGAATAATATCTATATTTGAACTTAATTTCAATCCTTCATGAGCTTCCGATATATAGCTATGACTAATTAATGATGAATATGTCATTTTCGTTTAACATCGATTTCCTCACGATTCTTCTGTTAAGATTGTAGAGTAATTATACATTCTGATTCTTCAAAGTAGAGTCCAATCGTGTTATAAAAGACTCGTAGAATTCCCAGGAGATATCTTTAATCATATCTAAGACACAAAAGTTCAAAGTTTAATCTAACAATTAGATAACTTGGATTTCACGATTTGGAATTTTTTTTGTTGAACCCGATATATATATATATATATATATATATATATATATATATATAAGGCAGTTATGTGCTAGGCATGATACACCCTTCGGCGATCATGTATCTTTCGATAGGCAGATATTTTTTCCCGTAGAAGTTTTCCATTTCTTTCTACAGTAGACCAGTTGCCATACAAGTTTACAGAACCCGGTCTGTCCTGCTATTTACCCATAGCTGGGGGAGAAGATGAAGATTCATACCTTTCCCAATGGAATAAGTGCGTAATTAAATGTAATGGATCTGACTGGAATTCGAACTCTCCGATTCCTCAATACGAGTCGTTATCCCTTACTCTTCAATGCCTCCATCGTCCTTATATAAATGGACACTCATTTTATGGAAAACAATGTTTTATTTCTGATACAAGGGTGAATATTCGAAAATTCTTTTTAAAGGGAAATGAAACCACTGGTGCTATTTGTTTGCAACATTGTCGTTAGAGGAATTACTGTAATGCGAAAGAAGGTCTTTGACATCGTGCACAATCTTTCATAACTATGAGAAATACAGAGACTTTGCGAATACTACAATACTTTATATGGTGTTGAACAGGCTGAATGTAGCCTAAAGGGAAAACAAACTCAGTTGATACTAACAATTTTATTGATACAAGTACTATTACTCTGGAACTGTTTCAGATCAGTTGATGGATTCTGATGATGTAATGTAACTCATGTATATTAGATATGACGCTATCGATGTGAGTCGCTGCCTGGAGAACGGAACTACATTCGATTGCAAATAATTATTAATAGGATTTCGAAAGTATTATATGATAGCTGATCTCATTTACGAATGAGAATGCATCTACCTATATATATATATATATATATATATATATATATATATATATATATATATATATATATGTATGTATGTATGTATGTATGTATATAAATAAAAAGAAAGAACAGTAAGATATATAATCCGGTATTCTTATAGATATTTTTATTTTTACAAAATAGTGCTCAATGTAAATTTACAGAGCATTAATATTATAAATTAATTGATTTAAAATATGTTTTTTTCGCTACACAGTTCTAACCATGTTTCAAAAATGGAAGCTAAAAGCCCCGAATTTAATTTTGTAATTAAATTAAAGACTTTAGATCCATTTCATCCTCAAGCGAATTTTTCTTGGGTCAGAAATAAAGACACAAAGAGAAATTGAGTTAAACAAATATATTAACAGAAACAGTAATGCAAACATATAAACACCAAGGTTTTGCAGCAGGAATGTTCTGTCCGACTCTCAGAGCTGATTGCTGGAAATATCCTTCTTCAAAAGGCAGTACCTGCTACTATTTATAGCAGGAAGAGTCCATTCGAGCGTGGGTAAATTACCATAACACATATAGCAATTTTCCAGTCTTAGCTTAGATGTGGCACAAGACCGAATGTATGGGGTACCCAGTGAGGATCGTAACTGTTCTAGCGAGACAAGCTTGCTTGAAATATATATATATATATATATATATATATATATATATATATATATATAGAGAGAGAGAGAGAGAGAGAGGGGTTACGAATATTTAAACGTTACTACATCAGATCAAATATCTGTAGCATGAAAGTTCATTAGTTAGAATTTGAACAGAAAATGCCAGTGTTAGATTCGAGCTCAATAATTAAATATTCTGTAGAGAAGTACGTAATTTGTCAAGAGGAAGTTTTTATCTCGAAATATAAAATTACGTTATGTAAAATAAATCATTTCCTATCAAAAGTTTACTGTGATTTTGATATACCTACGTACGCAGTTATTGGATTTCTTTAACTAAAAGTAAACCTTACGAAATGCAAAAAAGAAATGATGACAACAAAGAAGCTAGACCAAAAGAAAATTGATAAAGAGAGAAAAAATGGTGTAAAAATGAGAGAGAAAAGAGGAAGAAATATAAAGGTTTGTTAATGTAGGCTTTCGTATAACGAAACAAATTCAACGCAAGACGCTACAAGAGAAAAGCACTTTGAGGCAAAGGGACTTAATTCTAATTTCATCGCCAGTCAAAACAAATCAAGCTGAACTCGGGCTACTTTTCGAACAGCTGTCTGTTTCCATTTTTGTCACGATCAAAATGCCGAGAGAAGATGCCGTCGAGACACTGCAGTCTGACTATTTTATTTGAAAACTAAGAATACGGCAACTAACTACACTGCACGCACACACACAAAAGCACCCCCCAGAAACATTAGGGTATATATATATATATATATATATATATATATATATATATATATATATATATATATATATATATATATATAGAGAGAGAGAGAGAGAGAGAGAGAAACAGTATGATATATAATCCGGTGTTCTTATTAATATTTTTTTTATTTTTACAAAAACTATGCTCAGTGTCAATCT